TCAGCCTCCAGGGTAGCTGGAATTAGAGGCACGCACACCAGGCACAGCTAATTTTTTGTATTTTTAGTAGAGACGGGGTTTCACCATGGTGGCCAGGCTGGTCTCGAACTCCTGACGTGAAGTGATCCGCCCACCTCGGCCTCCCAAAGGGCTGGGATTACAGGCGTGAGCCACCGCGCCCGGCCATAAATACGTACTCAAATTTTCAAGTCAATTTAACAAATCATTTATCAAGCAGCTTCTGTGTACATGGCATCATAGTGATAAATAAAAGCCAGGACCTGCCTTCAAGGAGATTACAGCCTACAAACAGTAAGTCAAATCAGTATGCAAATAACTGCAACAGCAAGCAACATGGAGGAAGTACAACATGCTACAGTAACTAGTAAAGGGGGAAGGTTATCTGTGCTGAAGCTTGAAGGGCAGTAGACAACCGGAATAGAAGGTACTCCAGATGTAGAAACCAGCACAAATAAAGACAGGAAGGGAAAAAGACAGAGAAGCTTTTCAGAATAACTGCCACATAACGTGCACGGAGAGTCAGATTATGAAGAGCCTTATCTGCTACGCTAAGGCATCTGGGGCATATGAATGTCTATAGACAATAGGTAACTGAAGGGATCAAGTATCAGTGACGATCATGCTCAGAGATGCTCATCAAAGAGGAATCTGGCAACAATGGAGAGGTGTTATTCTTCAAGGTCAAACCCAATCCAGCCGCCTCTCCTATGTTTCAACCAGTACAGGTTGCTTTCTTTCCTTTTTGAACTCCTGTTCCAGTTGGGGTTGGAACACATAATCTGGCACCCAATTTCATGTTGTTTTACAGTGCACCTGAACTTCATGAAAAGCATGAATCTAAAATCCAAATTATATACATTTATATTCTAAATCTTGCCCTATATTTTGCTTTCCATTTCTACAATTAGTCTACCAATATATTGAATTATGAGCTGCTTGCTAATCGTGTGTAAGCCGTATTTTAGCTCCCTAATTAGACCAGAAGTTCTTTAGTGGCAGAGGCCATGTACTGTCTCCCACAAACCCAGCATGGTAGCACAGACTCAAATGCGTTTCTCTGCTAATGGCTTTTTTCTCCAATGTCACGATCGTTTCTTCTGAAAGAAGAATGACATCTCATTGCCGAGTGGCAAAACTTCTTACCTTCTTTAAGAAGCAAGTAACAGTCTGGCCGGCCTGGTACTGTTTAATCTTCTCCACAGGGCTAACAGAGTGAGTGTTAAGAGCAGTGCGGCCATCCTCCAGCTCACTGTTTGCAGAAAGGAAATGTAAAGAGTAAACCCAGCACTGGATAAGACTTCGAGTTTGAAACCATCTCTCCCAAGTGGCTATGGATTGACTGTACAGGACTCCCCTACTCACACCCACCCTCCAAGGCCGTTTCACTCCTCAAAGGGGAATGTCCACAATACTGGCCCAAGGCTAATCTTTTCCATTTCATTCACCTACTTATGAACAAGCTGCTTTTAAAGAAGGTAGCCCACAATAGCCTTTATAAACTCAGGAAACAAAATTGTTTTACTTCTTTCATAATACTTTGTTGCTTTAGCTTGCAAAACTGCATTCAAAAATTCTCTCACTGAATTTGACAACTGTGTGAGTTCAACAGGGTAGATATTAAGCCCATTTTATGCTATTAAACCAGTAGTTAAAGTCAGGGCTTCTGACTCAAAATCCAGGGCTCTCTGCCCTATGCTTCCATTAGCATTTTCTTGATTTTCTTTTTTTTTTTTTAAAAAAAAGAACAATCAATTTTTTTTTCTTTTTTTTGAGACAGAGTCTTGGTTTGTCACCCAGGATGGAGTGTGGTGGCACAACCTCAGGTCACTACAACTTCCACCCCCAGGTTCAAGTGATTCTCATGTCTCAGCCTCCCAAGTAACTGGGATTACAGGCACCTGCCACCACACCTGGCTAATTTCTTTGTATTTTTAGTAAAGACAAAGCCACCATGTTGGCCAGGCTGGTCTCGAACTCCTGACCTCAAGTGATCTACTGGCCTTGGCCTCCCAAAGTGCTGGGATTATGGATGTCAGTCACGGCACTCAGCCTTTTTCTTTTTTCTTCTCAGAAAAGCCACAAAGGGATGTAGCCTGAAAGTTACCAGTCCACAATCACTTCGAAGGAATCACAGAACTGCCACCCCTACTTACCAATTCAAATAATTTCTAAGCCCAAATGAACCAAACTTACCAATAAAATGCTACAAGTAATGTTAGTAAATCTGTAAAATACAATAGCAAGTGCTCCCTAATGTAGAAAATGGGAACTTTCCTATCTAGTAAAGTAAGAATTGACCCAGCACTCTGGGAGGTCACGGCAGGCACGTCACCTAAGGTCAGGAGTTTGAGACCAGCATGGCCAACATGATGAAACCCTGTCTCTACTAAAAATACAAAAAACTAGCTGGAGGCTGGGTGCTGTGGCTCACGCCTGTAATCCCAGCACTTTGAGAGGCCGAGGCGGGTGGATCACGAGGTCAGGAGTTCAAGACCAGCCTGGTCAACATAATGAAACCCCGTCTTTACTAAAAAATACAAAAATTAGCCAGGCGTGGTGGCGAGTGCCTGTAGTCCCAGCTACTCGGGAGGCTGAGGCAGGAGAATGGCATGAACCCGGGAGGCAGAGCCTGCAGTGAGCCGAGACTGCACCACTGCACTCCAGCCTGGGCGACAGTGCGAGACTCCATCTCAGAAAAAAAAA